AACGTGAAGAGATCAGCTGGCAGACACCTGAGGTGATGCCCATTGACTCATCAGCTCCTTGGCCGAGTGCTCAAAGGCTGCCAAACTCATCCAAGTATCTGAAAAAAACAAGACCACCTAATTTCCCAGGAATTTGGACTATTTTTGTTTGGTTTATATGATTTAATGCACTTTGGCTACTCATTTTCTGCTGCATCCAACACTGGTGCCTGGATTCATCACACCTCCATAGTCTGCTTACCTGCTTCCTCCCAGACTGACTATCTACAGCTGCAGGTATCAAATGGAATCTACATTTTTTTCTGCAGGCATTTTAGAAGAGTCTTTCCTTTTGTAGCCAAAAGGTTTTTATTAAGCACAGAGCTAAATGCTCTTGCACTGACTGGAGTTTGGATTCATGTCACCAATTTTATCACAGACGGCACCTTGCCCAACTCAGGCTGCCGCAGAAGGAGATGACAACTAGAGCTTCTCCATGTGGGATGCTGAACAGTCAATAAAGCACCATGAAAACCATACTTAGGAGTTCCCAGCCCACTGCGTGCACACCCTGACTGCAAACCAGCCTGGGACACCCACCAATGTGAGACCTCTTGCTGTTGCAGCAGCACTGCTAGTGATGCCCAAGGTCATGCTGCTCAAAGCCAACCTGGGCACCTCTATGGTAATGGCAGCATGCACACACCCAGTCGCCCACACAGCATGCCCCTGTGCCCCTTCCCTGCTGGGGACAGATTTTCAAAGGAATACACATCCAGCTGGTGGGTATGCTGGGAAGCAAGCTTTTGAGATCAAGCCAACTTTTTGCTTATGCTACAAAATAATTCAGACAGCAGCTGAGGGTCAGTTCCCTCCTGCTCCATTAGCCTGCTTAGCAGCAGCCTCATCCCTGAAAAGGAGGGCTGGGAACAGCACACAAGGGCTCCTTGTGCTCTGTCTGCATCTTGGAGAGGACAGATTTATCCTGTGTTCACCCACTGCCACAGATGGCACAACCACAGAAAGTCCTCCTGTCCTTAAATAGTCTTTTATGTGCAGGGTCTTGCCCTTGGCCTCATTGAACTTCATGAGATTTGCACAGGCTCACTCCTCCAGCCTGTCATGGTCCCTCTGGATGGCATCCCTTCTCTCCAGTGAGTCAGCTGCACCACACAGCTTGGTGTCATCTGCTGAGGGTGAACTCAGTCTATGTCCTGATCCCTCCTCTCCTCTCCTCCTGTAGGAATTACCTTTCCTATCTGTAAGGAGATGGCTTCTGAAACCGAGAGAATAGCAAGATGATTGGCAGTTTCTTCCCAGGGCCTCCTGCTATGAAATATGGCAGTTGATGCACATATTTATGAGATTTATGGTAAGGAGGAAAGCTCTTCCAGGTTTTGCCAGCTGGTTGCTGTCTGTCTGCATTTGAACTGGTCCTAGCCCACATGCACCCACTTCACAACAGTCTCCTTCCCTGCTCCTCAGTCCTGCTCTCTCCACAACCAGTCCATAAAATGCCTGGCTCAAGGACTGTTGACTTCTTGAAGGAGGCCAGAGCACAAGCTGCCTTGGGTAGCGTTTTTACCACCACCAGACCCTCATCCAGCACACTCCTGGTCTCGAGAAAGAGCCACTTTACAAGCAAAACTCAAAGACCAGCTTCCAGTGCAACTCAGGACCCAAGAACCAGCTTATCCGGACTCACCTAGAAATGCACCCCATTGCAACAACAAACCTCACAACTTCTGATCTCACATCAGATCAGAATTTCAGGCACCCAAATCTGAAGCACCACCAGCTCACTGCAGATTGAAAAGGGGCTGGGACCACTTCAAAGGCAGCAAGATCCTTCCACTCCTGCCACATGCCTTGCCAGAGGTTGTCATTTTGAGATCTGCAGTTAAAGCCAACTCCCATCACAAAGCAGAAAGCACTGATGGGGAAAGGACTGGTTGCAAAACAGTAGAGCTTTTACTTCTGCTCAGGAAGAAACGAGGACCAGCCTTACACTGGAGCACAGAGGGAGGGACACCAGCACGAGCAAACCACAGGAGGAGTAAATCCACACAACATCAGGACTTACCTCCACCCACTTCCCGTTGACCTCCATGAAGAGAACGCAAAACGGGTCGGATTTGGAAGTGACATCCCTGTCCAGAAGGTTTTGGCCACAGATGGACAGCTCGACTTTGCAGACACAGTACTGGGTGCCGATGGGCCCCGCCGGCGTGGGAGTCATGGTGTACGCCATGGACTCCAGTGGCAGCAGCTCCAGGCAGTCTGTGGGACAGGAGAACAGGGAGAAACCTCAGTACTGGAAGGCAGTAAACATTCTGCCAGCACCAGTGAGTTGGGCACAGAGTGGCAACATCCAGAGCCTCATGCGCTAAGTTTCATACATGATCTAAGCCATGAGGCTTTCCTGGCTCCAAAGCATCTGCCCTGTCCAGTCAACATCTCCCTGTGGCCACCACGCCAGGCAGACATCCTGAGTGGGAGCCCAGCAAAGCACCTACAACCTGCCTTCAGTTTGCTTCGTAAGTAACAGATTTTCAAGGAAAGGTAATGTCTTCTGCTCTTCCTCCTAAGGGAGTAGGGGTGTTCTCAACCTCTTCTTCCAGCATCCTGGGTTTTGCTTTGTGCGGAGGAACTACATTTCCACACCATCTTTCAGCACAAAAGCCAACTGCTGCCTGGCTGGTCCCAAACAATGGATCATGAACCTAAGCTACAAGGGCCAAACTTGAGCTCTGACCCCCAAATCATCATGGAAAAAGGGCTGAGACTGTGAGGATGAGTGGGGTAGAGGGCAGCTCCAGCCCTGGTTCAGCCCTATCTCCACTCAGCTCCCCAGGCTGGGGAAAGCAGGGATTCTGGCAGCAGTTAAAAACTGGCAACAGTTGGTTCAGAGAAGTGCAAGGCAAATGTGACAATCACTGCAGGGGACGATTTACAGGACTCTGACTAAAAACACACTGAAGATCTTACCAAAGTTCTGCTACCAAAGCCATTTTGCAGAGATAGATGTGTTTTATACCATGATTAGTGTAAAACCCCATCCCACGTGACATTCTTGCCTTCTCGTGCAGTTTACTAGGCAAAAAAACACCAAAGGTCTTCAACAGAAAAGAAAGGGCAGAAAAGAGAAGAAAAAGCATTTTCAGATTAATTTATGGGCTGAGATTGCTAGTATGGAGTGAGCTCTTCTCAGCAGCTGCTTCAATACCTTTTGTCTTCTTTTTCAAGAGTGGCTCCTGGCTCACCCACTTTATCTGAAACCCTCAAACATCTCCTTCCTCCACCTTGATAAGCCATTTGCTGCTGTTTGGCATTGAAATTCCAATTAATATTATCTGTTTGTTTTGCCTGGGCATGAGTATTTACAAGCCCTTGTGGTGCTGGGAGCTCGGCTGCTGCCCTTTTCCCTAGCAGCTCAGCCTCCAACCTGGGATGGAGGGAGCAGGGATGAGGTGATCCCAGTAGGACTATGGGAGAGAGAGCTCCAGGTTCACTGCTGGCTGTCCTGAGTGCTCAGCCTCAGCTGCAATGAAACAGAAAACAGCTTTGGATTCCAAGATGAGGAGCCCTCCCCTCCCACCTGACAAGATCTCTCTGGCAGATAGATCTGTGGCATAGATGTCTATGACTTATGGCACTAAGTCAGCAGAAACAAGTGTGGTTTTAACTCCCACCAATAAACTCAAGCTCTTCTTCCCAGTCTGCTGCTCTGGGCAAGAATGCTGCAACTATTTCAGCTCCATAGGAACCCAGAAACCTCACCAGAAGAAGAAAATCCCCATCCTTGGCTGCACACACCTGTGTACATCACCAAACCAGCACCCACGTCCCTTTCCTGAGTGCGATTCCCCCTAAGCCTGTCTCATGCTGTCACTCCCTGTCAACAGCAGCACAACACCAAAACAGTGGCACTGTGACACTAAAACGGTGGCACCTATGGGCAGCGATCCATCTACTACATCTTCAAGGTGAAACACATGCAGAAGCAGAAGCCCTCGTGGCTCATCCACCACGGCTGGGGTACTGGCTCTGAAGTGCCTGTCCCTGCCAGCACTGCTCTGCTCCTCCCAAGCCAGTGCTGTCAGCTGCAGCTACAGCAAAGATTTCATTTAATATTTTCCTTTAATGCACAGATCATGTAATCGATGTCTTAAAATAGTCAGGCCTGTTCTATTTATGCTGATGTCTGCCTGCCGCTCCCTCCGAAAAGCAAACACGGGGCAGCTGTGCTGGCATGGACCTGGTCCTGCTGGGACAGGGAGCTCTGGGCTGGGTTTTTCCATCTCCCCTTCCCCCAAATCTCAGCGCTGTCTCACAAAACGCAGAGGCAGCAAATGACTCAGTGGAAAAACCTTTCTTCCCAGGGCTGGCAGGAACCAAAACATCCTCCTGGTGCACTGTGCACTGCCCATGCTCCAGCCCTGCGCTCAGTCTGTCCTGCTCCCAAGGGACAGCACAGTCAAGATGGGCACTGGGATGAGGAGAGACAGCCAGAGCCTGCCAGGGCAGAGACCAGAGAGCCACCACTATTCTTGCTGCACCAACATGGATCCAGCACCTTCCTTTTGCTTCACTGGCATGGATCCAGCATGGATTGAGCTGGGCCACGTGGGGGTTAGGCCCCTGCTGCCTTGGCTGCTCCAAGGCTTCACATCTGAGGCCAGCACCATTCCAGTGTCCCAGTGAATGCTTTAAATTCAGGGGCTATTTATGCTTGCACCAAAGAGTCAGCTCACCATCATCTGTATTCCAGTCTCTCCTCCTGTTTTTGTTCTCCTCTCCCCACATTCACCACCCTGAACATAGTCCTGTGACTTGTTCAGCATCCCCGGCCAAATATTCTCCCGATGTACCATCCCAGCTGCTGCCTTCGTGCAGATCATGCAGGCACATGGTCTCCTGCCAAAACATGAACAGGCTACACCAATGAGAGGTCTTGGGGACAAGCTTGAAGGTTTGATTGCCCCACAGTCCCATCTGCCATCAGACACAGCAGGTGCCTGAAGAGGTGTCATAAGAGCAGGACCAGGATGGAGGAACATGGTCCCCAAATCCTTTCCGGGCTCCAGCTTCTAGAACCTCCTGAGCCAGACACACCTTTGTGTTTCATAACTTTCAAATGCTTTTTCCTCCTTGACTTGGTCACTTCCAAGCTGCTCTATGTTTACAACATCCCACAGCAAAGGGTTTGCTGGCTGGGGGCACAAGCCCTGGGGCCACCCAGAATATCTGAGATGAACATCTGAGAGTCCCAGAGCAATGCACACAGATGTTCTCCTCCTCCTCACCACATGGCCCCCTGATCTCCACAGCAGAAGCCCCAAAGCATGTGCAGAAGGGCCAACAGGAACACCTGGGACCTTTATGTCTTCTCTTATCTGAAAAAGGAGGAGGGGAAGGAGATAACTTGTGTCTGTAGAGGCTCCCCTTCTCTCTGCAGAAGAGCAGCTCCATGAGCAGCAGTTGCTCAGGCTATGCTAAATCCCTGTTTTAAGCATTAACAAGAAAAAAGAGGGGAAAAAATAAAGCTATGCTTTAAGTGAAACATTTTGGGGGATTTTTCAATCTCAATAGTGCACCAAATTCAGTGATCTCTTCTCAAAGAAACCAGATTTCTTTTCACAGACAGTATCAGGCACATTTGAAACAGCCACAGAAGTATCAGGGATACCATGCAAAGTCCTGCTGGGTCCCTCCCAAGGATGCTCTGCTCCTTCTTTGGGATGATCTGTGATTTCTGTAATACCCCACACGTCACCTATGACTCAGTTTACCCACTCAGGCTGTCCCACAACTGCAATTGTGGAAGCAAATTTCCTTTCAGAAAGGGGAAAATGAGACAGAGGAGTATCAAACAGGTAACTGGGATTCCTATGAAGCATATATCTGAGTTTACAGGCAATGACAACACAGAGGGAGGGCAGTGGTACCCGAGGGAGGATGAAGAGCAGGTGAAAACGAGTTGTCAGAAGACTGAAGCAAAGGAGAAGAGTGTGAGGACACAGAAACCCGTTGCCCAGAGCAGCAGAAAAGACGAAACACAGCACACACAGTGCTAGAGATGCCAGGAAAACCTGGGGTGTGCTGTGATGGATGCCCAATGCAGCTCCCCACGCCGTCAGAACCCACAGAGGCTGCTTTGCTCTCTCCTGTCAACAAACACAGTCATCTCCAGAATTCTTCTGCAAAGCAGAATTGTTTGCCTCTCAGTCTTGCCTAGGCAACACGGTGGATTCGCCAGTCTGCACCTGGTCTTAATAACAGCCTCGTTACCTTCTGCACACACATGCAATTACTCATGTACACAGCACTTTGCTGCCCGTCCCCCCCACCAAATGTCTCTGCCATGGGCCAGCAGGCTGGGAGGCAGAGAGGGGATGCTTGGTACATCCCTGCAAGCGTGTTCCTTGGGCACCTGCTACCATCAGAGGATATTCATCTCTCACAAGAGGCAAGGAAAGGCTGAAAACTGCCTCTGAGCATCCCAGTATGGATAGCACAGCTGGGACTAAGCTCAAGTCCTCCCAAATTCACAGAGATTTGGGGTAGACCCAGCAGAGGTGGATGTCCAGGCAGGGCTCTGGTTTCCAGGCTGGCACACAAGTCCCACAGTCCTGACTGCTGGAAGCTAAGGGGACTGTAGTGAAATATTTTGGAGGGATACAGAAGGACAAAGTGTTTCAGGACAACCCAATTGAGTGATTTCCCCAATGAACCTTTTCTGATGCAAGCTGTTTCTAATGGGCTACAATAGGTAACACTGCTTGTCCTGACAGTTGGACTTCTTGCACTGGTGCTACGAAATTCCGTCTCCAACGGCTGGTGGCCACCTCAGTGTGACAGTGGCTGCTTTTCCATTTCGTGCTCAGGCAATAGCCACCCACAGTGTCAGCTCCTCTCAGACCACTGCTGTCCCCAGGAAAGCCTCCACCCACCAAGTCTTGGCAGGTTTGGTGCTGATGAGGGCAGTGCCCACCTTGCCACAACCTCCATTCACACAGCACCCAGCAAGCTTCTCTGGGGTGTGACAACCAGCAGAGCCCTGAAAAGTCACTCAGGGTGACTTGGGTGTTACAAATCGCAGGAAAACTCTGAGGCAAACCCCATGGCACTGGAGCTGCACCCCCTGCAAAGTGGCTTCACTTTCAGGCCTTCCAGAAAGATGTGTCCCCACTTGCCAGCCAGCAAGATGCTACACAGACAAGGCAGCCCTACCCAGCTGTGTTGGAGTCCACAGCCTCCCAGCCAGTGTGCCA